GCATACTCGCTTTTACATAGAAAATAGCTTGAATTAAAGATTTACGTTTGTTTGTTTTGGAGTTTCGTGCAAAGCTACTCGAGAGTTATCTATGCTAACCGTCCCTAATTTAGAAGTGATAGAGTAGAGAAAAAGTAGCTAGTCAACACCACCTATTGTCAACTCTTTACCGACGAATAGTGGGATTAACCATCACATTATTACGCCCCCAAGGCTTAAAGGATTAGCTTGTTCGGGGATGGGATTCGAGCCCGTGACCCTCAATTACGAGTGGAGTGCCCTAGTCACCAGGCATACTGAGCACAGAACTTGACGAAAGATAAAAAAAATGACAGAAATACACTTTATATGGGCATCAAAACTAACAAGAGTTGCAACGAAAGAAAAAAAAAGACAGAAATACACTTTATATGGGCATGAAAACTAACAAGACAGTTACAATTTTACACCAATAAGACCGACATTCACTCCAGCTATGTAATTAGCATATCTCTTAATTCGCTGTTCATTAGATCTAAACATTGGCTATGTCATAAAAAAGTATTGGCAAACTTCTTTACATAATACTAGTTATAAAATAGTTCTAATACAACAATAACATGACTAAAATTGTTGTCCAATACTAAGCCCAATTTTTCCCAATCAAATATTACAGTCGTAAATCATGTGATCTTAACAAAGAGTAACCTGTCAACCCATAAACATATAGCCCCCTAGTGGCTCAGTGGTAAATCTGCGGACTTATAACGCTAAAAACCGGGTTTTGAAACTCATGGTGGACACGGCACAGATAGCCCATTGTGTAGCTTGGTGATTAACTATAAACAAACAAAACAAAAACATAATGGCATAAATAATCAAGTTACATTTATATTACACACGACATATTTTTTAACTATCACAAGAGTGACAACTTTGCACAACAGTGGTAACTCCCTCTATTTAACAATCAAACACGTAGTTTTGTTTTTTAGTTATGAAATTCCGTCTTCAAAACAATATTTCCTAAAAGATCTATCGGAAAGACAAATATTAGCTGAAGAAAATAATATCAGCTAGTGATGTGAAAATAGGTAAAACTATTACCAACGAAAGACGAGATGAGGAATTCCATCAGGTACACGTTTGTCTTGTTTTCCGCCAGAAAAAAAAGAAAAAGAAAAGAGCACAAGTATTTTATATGATCAGAAATAATGAAATTGAATGCTTTTGAGTTTGCGTCTATATTTCGTTTTATTATTTTACAAAGTTTATGGATTCTAAATACCTTGTTGCATAATAATCGCATGGTTAAACTTAGTTGCATCGTTTATTTTAAAATAAACGTTGAATAATTCAAAAAACTAATACGATGACGAGGAACCCACTTTGAGACTAATAATGGCTGGAGACGGCTTGAATGGGTAATGAAGAAAAACTTTAATATAAGTTTAACATAACAGCAAATGTACAACGTTTCGACAAGGTTTTTTCATGATCAACGTTATGTTATGTTAAACTTATATTAAAGTTTTTCTTCATTACCCATTCAAGCCGTCTCCATCCATTATTTAAAAACTAATACATTTTCATTGTAAAATTGTTTTAAAAATCCAATCTTAAACACGACTTTTGAAAGCATTACATTTGTTAAGTATTTCTTATCGTTACAGCCTAAAGCAGGTTAGTGGCAGCATTTGTTATTTTATCAATTTCCGTGAATCTGTTTGTTTGTTTGTAATGAAGCACGAAGGTACACAATTGGCTATCTGTGCTCTGTCCACCACGGGTATCGAAATCCAGATTCTAGCGTTGTAAGTCCGCAGACATACCGCTGTGCCACTAGGGGTGGTTGTGAATCTGACAAACGAAACGTCGTAAGAATAATTTGTCCCATAATCACGTCCTTAGCTAGGAAGACATCCTTTAAAAATGTCTTCAATAAATAACGCAACGTCTACCAACCCACAGGACTGTCTGAAATTTATGGAAATTAAAGTAATAACAAGATAACTAGATTAATTGGAAATATAATAGTACGTTTTCAGAGGGACATTCTCACTGTACCATGATAAGTTATTTTACCTTTACTGTGTTATCGTATATTAATATGGTTAAAATTAATAAAACTTTGGTGTAACCTCTTGAGGAGTTGGTATGAGCTCTTGGGGAGTTGGTGTAAACTCTTGAGGAGTTGGTGTAAGCGCTTGAGGAGTTGGTGTAAACTTGAGGAGTTGGTGTAAACTCTTGGGGAGTTGGTATAAGCTCTTGGGGAGTTGGTGTAACCTCTTGAGGAGTTGGTGTAACCTCTTGAGGAGTTGGTGTAAACTCGGATTCGACTTTCTAGAAATACTTCTGCTGTTACAGCTATTATTTATTTTTAATTCAATCATAGAGCTATTCACATTTCTGCGTACATTAAAATATTTATTGTTTTTTTTTAATTTATTATTATTGTTGCTCCCTGTGGCTTAGCGGTAAGCTTAAGGGCTTATATAAGGGTTTGATACGTGCGGTGAGCACAGTACAGACAACCCATCGTGCAGCCTTGCGCTTAACAACAAAAGAAGCCAACAATGAATTTTGTAATTATGAATAAAACTGAGAAATCAATCGTATAATAGATTTGTTAAAAATATATTTTATTTAGCTCATAAAATAAAATTCACTGACTTGGCCTCCAGATAGAATATATGGTTCCCACACATAATTACGGATTCTTACTGCCCAGGATCTGCATCTCCAAACAAAATGTATGTGAGCATTTGATAAATAACGTAAAGTTGCTTTGATGCCAAACCCTAAAGTACACCTTACGAACGACAACAACAACAAAGTTCCAATATTTCGGGCTATGGATAAGAATTCTCAATGATTACTTTTATATTTTATACCTTGAAACATAATATACTTGAACGTGCAGAAAATAATTATTTAATAAATAATGAACTGTCTTAATGACAAGCACTAAAGAATAATTTACTAAGAAGTAAGAAAAAAATGTACTACAGATTTTACTTCACTTGTTCCTCTGACTTTACTCTTTCATACTTGTTCAGACATGTTTTAAATGAACCAATCAAAGGTCATAATTCACGAATACTAATATTTAAATGAACCAATCAAAGGTCATAATTCACGAATACTAATATTTAAATGAACCAATTAAAGGTCATAATTCATGAATACTAATATTTAAATGAACCAATCAAAGATCATAATTCACAAATACTAATATTTAAATGAACCAATCAAAGATCATAATTCATCAACAATAATGTTTAAACGGACCAATCAAAATTCAAATTTCATTAACACTATGTAAAGGGGCAAATAGTGACAGTTTCCTCATGAGATAAGTATATTCTTATTCAAATCATCACTTGCACGTCGGGAAGAAATAATTGTCCCATTAAATCTGTCAAAATAACTAACTGATTATTAAGTGTGGATTTTGAAACAAAACTTCAGTATCATATATAGTGCAAGTTACAAGAAACTTAGAAGACACTTTAAATAAACAATGCAAAATCCATAACACAATATAAAAGTATAAAATAACAGACCATCGTATCTGGGAAGTGTTAAAATAAAATGTTACTATAAATAAGAAAAATACATAAATCATATCAACAAATACAATCATTCTTTACTAAGAATATAGTGTCAAACGGAAGATGCTAGTATACAACTTCCTACAATTTCACTGTATTGTAAAATGTCGCATTAGTAAGCCGATTTAAGGAATTGTACACTATTTCATCTAGGGAAATTAAGAACTATTTTTTTAGGCTCAATTACACGAAACAAAATTTACTACATTGGTGATTTGACCGAGTACGCGTGTATGTTTTGTATTAATACCTT